TAGTTGCTGAGGGAGAAACGTCGTCGTCCGAGCTGCTGCAGGTCGGAGAACACGCCAGCCGCTGTTGATTGTCGGATAACATAGTGCCAACCAGAGAGTAGCCGTCGAGACCACGGGATCTGGTGTGAAACCGCTACTGCAGATTTTCATGAGGCGCCGGAAGACCAAAATGACCAAAACTGGAGGGAGGAGGGGGTGGTGGCCCACGAAATCAACAAGAAGAAGTTAAGGGGAGGAGAAGAATATAATAAGATGCTACAGTTCCCTTTTTGTTGTTGCTTCTATTTTTCTTTTCCCTATTTCTTTTCATTTCTTTTGTTTTTTTACCATAAATAAAAAAATAAGGAAATAAAAATAGGGATATTAACCTTTAAATAAGGAAGGTTTTCATAATCCTTTTGTTAAAAGGAAATCTACCCTAAAAAGAAGTAGGGACAAGTTTAAAATGTTAACTTATATTTAAAACCCAATAATAAATTCCAAAAGAGAAAATAAAATTTCCAAAACTTTTAAGATTTAATTAAAAATCTTTTTCCAAAATTTGAAACTTTATTTATCTTAATTCAACGAAATTAAACTTAAATTCGAATGTACCCAAAATTAAAACTCTAAAATTAGGAAATCCAGAAATTTAAATTATCCAGATATGGGGAAAAACCAAAGGTCGGATATAAATCTTAAAATATAAATAATCCAAAAATTCGGGGCGTTATATACTACCCACCTTAAAAAACTTTCGTCCTCGAAAGTTGAGTAGTCAAATAACCCTTGGTGCTTGACCTATATATTCTTTTACTTATTAGTTGTTTCCTTCAAAATCTGTACTAGGATGGCTCCTTACTTCCTTACTCTCGGTGGGTATTTTGAGTAATAGAGAGCTTTATACTTTCACTATAAAACTGATAACAAAGCACTGAGCTTGGCGGTGTGAAGACTTACCGCAAACAACCTAGTGGTTCGAACTTAAAAATCGCTTATAAAACTGAACATACGGAACAAGGACCAATTTACAATAGAATACTAAGGCTATGATAATTCCAATACTATCACTTTTAAGAGAAGATAAGTATAAACAACCGAGGATAGGGCCGGAAGGAGTACCTGTAGCGACAACATTTGTGTGTTTTACGAGATAGTTTTTCCTTCCTGATTGTCCTCTAGGTACTTGCGTCAATTATCGAGCAATCTCTTACACAATGGCCCACCTCCACTACAACAAATTCGACTTTTAATGACGAGCATTGCCCGTCATTAAAAGGAAACGATGGCTGTCATTGACCGTTCTTGTTTTTTTTTCAATGACGGACGGTTTTAATGCCCATCATGAAGAGCGTTGTTTTCATGACGGACGTGCCCGTCATGAAAGGGTAACCATGACGGACAATGACCTACATTTTTTCCAGTGTCATTGTTTCTTTTAATTTTTCATGGCGGTTTTTGCCCGTCATTTTTTGTACATCATGGAATGACTATATTTTATGACATATATTAACCGTCATTATCTCGTGAATAATTTAATTAAAAAAATAGTTGGTTGCCAATCACGTGGCTAACCAACCATATTTCTTTTGAACTTATTCACAAAATAGTATCTCAATATTGCAATCGAAATTAGCTAATTAATATGCCACAAACGCATCACTCAATAGTTGTTCAAAGTTTTCATACATGTTTGTAAAATAGTCTTTGTGTAGCTTCAAACATATTAGTTGTATTCTTTGTCATCATGATCATAATTTTCTTTTCCCTTAGTAGTATCATTTTCATCCTTATCCTTCGTACTAGTTGTTCATCATGCCAAATCCATATCTTATAACTCTTATCAATACCATAGAAAATAAGTTTTCCCTAACTATGTTCAACTCTTGTAGAACGCCAGTTGCATAGTTCAAGCAAGGACACCATATGAAGTTTGAACCAGTTGAATGTCGTAGTCCATTTTCAATGAAATTCTCAACACCCAAATTATATTCCACTAACATTCTATCTCTGTTCATTCATGACTTTCCATACCGAACAACTTAACTAAATAAAATATCTACAAAGAAAAAGTGAAAAATGCTATATCAAACAAAATAAAGTATATAAAAAAACAAAATAAAGTATAAAAACCAATTAAAAATAAAGTATATAAAAGTCTCTCGTTTCCAATTAAAAATAAAAAATTAGGGGAAATAAAAACCAAAAACTCTAAATATTAAAGTAGGCCAACAGATGCCACTAACATCGTTAAATACCAAGATATATGTAAGCGCAAGAATGATGCTTAACTACATAAGAGACGTTGTTGTAACACTTAAAAGGGTGAATCTATATATCTTTGCAAATGTAAAGTCCATCCAAATGAGATTTTGAACCAAAATAAAAATCAAGTCATGAAATCTCAAGCACATATCTACCGAGTGGAAGTGCTTAACATCTTTCTCGAATTTGAATTTTATCTTATTCGAGGTGGTTGATCACATTTAATGGAGAGAATAAAAAAAAAAAAGAATGTAAACAATCACGAATCTCCTTTCCAAAATAATAAAAAAAACAACAATTCATCTTCTCGTTTCTCAAACACTAATGTAGAATTTCTTTTTCTTTTTTTTTCTTTTTAATTTGTGTCCAGTTAAAATACATCAGCGTCAAGATCCATAATTCGATTTCTTCACTGATGATTTGAGAATCTCAAGTAGTCCAAATATAAACATATTGTGCATGGGTACAAAAAATAAAAAATAAAAAAGCACATCATTAAAGCAAGAAGATACCTCCAGATTTGAGTAAGGTTACTAAGCTTCAAACATTGTCCAGTCTTGTAGTAGGATGTGAGAAGGGTCGCAAAATCACGGAACTTGGATTTTTTTAAAACTTGAAAGGTAGTTTGGAGCTTTATTGTCTGGAGCAAGTGAAAAGCTAAGGATCCGTTTGATAACCATTTTAATTTTTGGTTTTTGGTTTTTGTTGTTTTTGGTTTTTAGTTTTTGGTTTTTGTTGTTTTTAAAAAACAAAAACTATGTTTGATAACGATTTTTAGTTTTTTGTTTTTAAAAAACAAAAAAGCAAAACATGTTTGGTAACTAGTTTTTTGTTTTTAAAAGTTAGAAAATTGAAAATACATATTAGAGAGAGAAAATTTGATGTAGAGTAGAGATGACAATGGTGTGGGTGCGAGTGAGGATGCTCTCCCCCATTCTCGTGGTCGTGAAAATTTTCAGTCTTCGTCTCCACCTCGTTCTTGGGTCCGAGAGATGTTCTCGAGAAAAATTATCGGTTTTATTATTGTTTTTAATTATTTTTAGAATTTAAGTATAAAAAAGTGTAATAAATATATATTAATTATTTAAAAAATAGAATCGGGGACGGGGTTGGGATACCCATTTCCTATTTTTTGAGACCCGACCCTACGGAAATTTTTGTCACCCCCTAATGTAGAGATTTAGATAAATGTAAATAAACTTTTGGAAGATAAATTTTAGAGATAAATAAAAACATTTAGAAAAAAATAGTGAAAGAAAAGTTAAAGACAACCAGAGAAAAATTTTAGAGAAAAAAAGTAAAGTCGGGAGGAAAACATATGTTAAAGAAAAAAAAATATAAAGAAAGAGAAAAATTATAGTGGTAACAAATTTAGACATAAAAACAAGATTCAAAATATACTTTTTAGAGAAAATAAAAAAATACAAAGATAAATAAAAGTTACAGTGAAAGAAAATTGAAGGAGAAAATAAAATATAATTTTCAGAAGAAAAAATAGATTACGAACACAAAGAAAAGTTATAAAAGATGAAATTTTAGAAAGAAAAAAGTTAGGAAAAATATTAAATTTTTAGACAGAAAAATGAAACTGGTAGAAAAAAACAAAAAATAGAGAAAAACTTGGAGAGAGACAAATAATAATAAATATTCAAAATATGAAAATTTGAAGACAGAAAAATAAAGTTTGTAGAGAGGAATTTAGAAATAAAAAAATTTTAGAATTAGAAATAAAATTTTCAAAGATAAATATGAGAAATAAAAGAAAAAGAGTATTAGAAGAAGAAATCAGATTTTGAAAAACAAAAACTTGTTTTTGAAAAGTACTTTTTTTTGTTTTTGAAATTTACGTAGAATTTCAAAATGAACAGAAAATTGAATTGGCTATGAAACAATCCTGTTTTTAAAAAACTAAAAACTAAAAATCAAAAACAAAAAACGAAATGGTTATCAAACGACCCTAAAACAAAGCCAATACTGCAAAATTGGGGTAAAAGGAGAACATGGATCGCCTAGCCTTCCATGGGAGTAATGGGGCATAAGAAAAGAAACGATAACAATCTAAATGATTTGGAAGTGTTTGAAGGACTTCAACCACACAAATATTTGCAATCATTGAAAATCTATGACTATGGAGGCAAATTTTTGCCTAACAATATTTTTGTTGAGAATTAAGTAAGAATACTTCTCTGGTATTGTGAAAATCGTGAGGGGCTTCCAATGTTGGGGCAATTAACCAATCTAAAGAGTTTTACTATCAGTTCATTGCTCAATGTACGAAGTATAGTCAAAGAGTTCTATTGGAATGAGTCTAACCAAGGGGCTTTCTTTCTCAAGCTAGAGACACTTGCAATCTTTGACATGTCTTACTTGGGGCGATGGGAAGAACAGATACTAGTTGCTTCAAATGCTACGATTTTTCATAATCTTTAGAAATTGGAAATTGTTCATTGTCCTATATTGTTGAATACTCCAAACCCTCAAGTAGTCCAATCTAAATAAAATAATTTGATTTTTTCACTGATGAAAAGTAAAACTGAAAAAAGAATAATGAATGAAGTATCCCATAACTTTCTATCACCGAGCACAAAAACATAAATTTGGGTACTTTCAATTACAGAAATGTATGTCTCTTGACCAATTGAAATTTAAGTCTCTTAACAAATTAACTTAGTCCAACTAATTACAATATAACAAAATCCACGCCACGTCACAAATGGAGCCAAAAAAACCAATAATATAGAACAAAAACTGAGGCTAAACGTATAAAAAAAAAGACTCAAAAAGAATACTAACCTTGTATAAGCTTCGTGGATAGTAAAATAAAAGTACTTTCCAAAACAACAATAGACTTTTCTTGAGGTGGGTATCCATAGACTTGAATTTATAGCTCAAATGCAACAAAATTAAAGCACATCGAATGAGAAACTCTTACGACGTTTTCGAAGTGGGGTTTGAGTGTGGGGACAAAAAACTCCGAACTTTGGAAGAAGACAAAGCTTGTGCGGTCTTCACGGTGAAGAACTTGAATTTTCCAGGAAGGCAGCCCCAATTTTCGTTTTGGGTGGCTGGAGGATGAAAACAGAAAAAAAAGGCTCGAAACGATGTCGATTTGAATTCTAATGTGTTTTTAAAACAAGGGTAAAAACGACGTCGTTTTAAACACAGCAGGTGGGAATGTTTTTTTTAATGAAAACGACGTCGTTTTAAACCGAATTGCAAGCAATTTTTCCCTTTCCTGCAATGTCGTTTTCAAACTGACATTAATTCTTACGTTTTCATTTCAGTTTTATACCGACATTGTATGCATGTTTTAATGTCAGTTAGGAATCTAAATTAACGACTTCGTTTTTCCTTTCTTTACCATGACGTTTCTCAAGTGATTTTGCAAATTTACAAAAATTAGAGAAAACACAAAGCACTATTTTTTCACAATTTTAAACCCTAGATAAAACTAATCATAAAAATCAATTTTAATACATTAAAATACATTTTAAAGGTGCTGGTCATGGTAAAAACAGTTCAGAATTAAGAATTCAAATTTTGATACTAAACAAACTAAAACTATGAAAATAACATAAACCATTAAAAACCGTTATGAACCAATTTTATGAACATTTTTAGAACCTTTATAATTCTGATTTCAGATCTCAAATTAACAAAAATAAGGCTTAAACAGTATCTATTTTATCTTAATAATGAACCCTAAAAATAATTTACACAAGGAAGAATGATGCTTACCGTTCGTGCGTTTTCCTCTCTACCGTAAAGAATAAAATGAAAAAATTTTCCAGCAACTAAGAGAGCTTGAAATGATTATAGAAACCTTAGAAAAATAGATATGAACATGCTTAGGTTCTATAAAAAAAATTAGGGAAATTGACTGCCAAAACTAGACTAAAAGAAACCATTTCTTACCGAAAAGGCGAAACCGATGAACGACCTTCAAGAAACTTGGAAACACAGCTATTTCTCCCTCTAAGGTGTGATTTACAGTATTAAGATGGAGAATGAAGAGAGATTTGGTTTGAGTTGTTCTTGGAGGAAATTGAATGAAACAAACATAGCTAACTTAAGGAGAATGACTTGGAAGATGAAACAAACATGAATATTTGGAAGATGAAACAAACTTCTTCTCTCTCCTCATGCATGAGGGATTACTTAATGGGATTGTTAGAGTTTTTTGGTCTTCCTAACTTATTTACTACATGTGTCACTTGGGTGGAAGATGGGTTATATTGCCTAATCATGGTTAGTGGAAGGCGAGTTATATTGCGTAACCACGGTTATGAGTTAAGTAAAATTCTCTATAGTCCCCTAATTAAGTTAATTTAATTAAGGTAGAAAAATAAAGAGTAAAATAAAGTTAGTATGGGGCTTTACTTGGTTAATTACCTTATAATTAAACTTTGGATAAAATGTATGAAACTTTATAAATATTACAATTACCATAATTCACAACATTTATCTAATTACTAAAGTATTATTGTTAATTTTGTTACTTAAATACAATTATAATCTTGCTAATCTTAATAATCTCTTTATGCATATTTATTTTTTATTATTATAATTAATTAAACATTGATAAGATGAATCACTAAATTTTGTTGTAAATTTCTTTTAATAAGTAAATAAAATTAACTTGAGCTTAATTAGTTAGAGTATTAGAAGCCTAAAATTATTAACTAGGATTGATTAAAGTTTATTGGCATAAAACTAATTAGATTTGACTAGCTTACCTAAAAAAGAAAAAACAATAATATAAAGTCATGAAAATACCCTTATAGGTAAGGTGGGGCATTACAGCAAGGCTCTCTTCCTAGACATGCTCAAGTTCCAAAAAGAGCTGGAAAAAAGCAATGCAAGGTGGTAACTTTGAGAAGTGTATTATCTTACGAAGGACCAAAGATGCAGTTGAGGTAGAAAAACCTTCCACATCAATCTAGACTGCCCCTAGTGAAGCAGAGAAATAAAAAAACACCTCGAGTGAGGGGGAGGCGCATGGCACCTCTCCAAAAANCCCGATTCCTCCTTTCCCTCAAAGATTAGCCAAGAAAAACCAAGAAACTAAGTTTATAAAGATTTTAGACATTCTTAAACAACCTCACATAAACATTACTTTAGTTGATGCCTTAGAACAAATGCCGAATTATGTTAAATTCCTAAAGGATATTGTATCTAGAAAAAAGAAGTTAGGTGAACATGAGATGGTAGTTATGACTAAGTGTAGTAGTGAAGCTATAGGTAGCCCTTTGCCCATAAAATTTAAAGATCCCGACAGTTTACCATCCTTTGTTCTATTAGAGGAAAGAATTTAGGTAGATATTTATGCGACCTAGGTGCTAGTATCAACCTAATGCCATTATTTGTTTTCAAAGAATTAGGCATAGGAGAAGCTAGACCAACTACAATTATCCTCCAATCAGCGAATAGATCCATTAAGAAGCTTGAAGGATAAATAGAAGATGTTCTAGTTTAGGAAGATAAGTTTATCTTCCCTGCAGACTTCATCATCTTATATTGCGAGGCTGATTTGGATGTACCTATCATTTTAAGTATACCCTTCCTAGCTACAAGAGATACGATGTTTAATGTTCAAAAAGGAGAAATAACAATGAAGGTTGATAATGAGGAGGTGAAGTTTAATGTGTTGGATACAATGAAATTCCAAGAGATTTATAAGAATGTTCAGCCATTAGTACTTCGAATTCTGCTTCGTTTGATGAGTTTTATGATCTTTTAGTCACAAAAATTGAGGAAGAACTAGAGGCTGTAGAAGATGAATGCTTAGAAGTAGATGAAGAGATGCATCCACCAAAGGAGAAAGAGGATATAGATACAAAAGTGTGCAAAAGTTTGCAACCATCCATTGTGGAACCGTCCACTTTGAAACAAAAGCCTTTACCTTCCCACTTCAAATACGCTTATCTTGGACTTAATGAAACTTTGCCTGTTATTATTTCTTTTAGCCTAACCACTGAAAATGATCTTTCATTGTTGCAGATTTTAGCGAAATATAAGGAGGACATTGGTTGGACTATTTTTGACATTCGAGTAATAAGCTCTGCATTCTGTATGCATAAGACCCTATTAGAGGAAGGGTGCTAGCAATTCAATTGAAAACCAGAGACGTTTGAATCAAAAAATGAAAGAAGTCGTTCAAAAAGAGATCTTAAAATGGTTAGACGCCGGAGTCATCTAACCTATATTAGATAGCAGCTGGGTGAGTCCAGTACAATGCGTACCAAAGAAGGGCAGGATGACGGTGGTGGTAAATGAGGAGAATGAACTTATATCAACCCGGACTGTGAGTGGGTGGATAGTTTGCGAAGTTTGCATTGACTATCACAAACTAACCAATGAAACGAAATAATATCATTTTCCACTCCCGTTTGTTGACCAAATGTTGGATCGTCTTACGGGTAAGAAGTTTTACTGCTTTCTAGAAGGATATTCAGGATATAACTAGATTACCATCGCTCTAGAGGATCAGGAGAAGACGACGTTCATGTGTCTGTATGGGACATTTGCCTGTAGGCGTATAACTTTTGGTCTATGCAATGCACTGACGACATTTCAAAGGTGTATGATGGTCATTTTTTCGGATATGGTAGACAATATTCTTGAGGTTTTTATGGCTGACTTTTCAGTTTTTGGAAATTCTTTTGATGATTGCTTATTGAATTTAGAAAATGTTTTACAAAGATGCGATCAAACAAATCTTGTTTTAAACTGGGAAAAGTGTCATTTTATGGTACGAGAAGGGATAGTTCTACGCCATAAGATTTCAAAAAATGGGATTGAGGTTGATCGTGCCAAAATTGATGTTATTTCAAAATTACTACCTCCCACGAATGTTAGAGGAATAAAAAGTTTTTTAGGCCATGGGGGTTTCTATAAACGTTTTATAATAGATTTTCAAAGATTTTGAAACCCCTTTGCAACGTTTGGAAAATGATAGACCATTTGTGATTGAAGAAGCTTGCATGACAGCTTTTGAAACTTTAAAAACTGCTTTAGAACCTAATTGGGAGTTACCCTTTGAACTTATGTGCGATGCTAGTGATTATGATCTAGGGGTCATGTTAGGTCAAAGAAGGAATAGAATTTTACATCTAGTATATTATGCAAGTAAGCCTTTAACGGGAGCACAACTAAACTACAACACTACTGAAAAAGAATTATTAGCAGTTGTATTTGCTTTCGATAAGTTTAGGTCTTACTTGATAGAGACAAAAGTAGTTGTTTATATTGATCATAATGCTCTGAAGTATTTGTTTGCAGAGAATGATGCAAAACCACGTTCGATACGATGGATTTTGTACTTCAAGAATTTGACATACAAGTAAGGGACCGTAAAGGAACGGAGAACCAAGTGGTCGACCATCTGTCTAGGCTCGAGTCCCCACTTCATGAAGATCAAGCACAGATTCGAGAACAATTCGTTGATAAGCAATTACTTCGTATTGAAAATGTCTCATAGTATGCCGACATTGCAAATTACTTGGTAAGTTGTATTATTCCCCATGAATTCAATCGGTAGCAGGTAAAAAAGTATCTTCATGATGTGAGATATTATAGGTGGGATGAGCCTTTTTTGTATAAACTTGGTCTTTATGGAATCCTACGCAGACGTTTAGCGGAGGAATAACAAAAACAAATTTTAGTGGCTTGTCATGTGTCTCCATATAAAGATTATTTTGCGGGACAAAAGATCGCAGCGAAGGTACTTCAAAGCGGATTCTTCTGGCCTACTCTATTCCGTGATGCACATAGTTTTGCTCGGGTTTGTGATAAGTGTCAGAGGACATGTAGTATTTCTAAACATAACGAGATGCCTCTGAACCCCATTCTGGAAGTTGAAATTTTTGATGTATGGGGCATTGATTTCATGGGCCCGTTCCCTCCTTCGAATGGTAAGAACTATATTTTACTAGCTGTTGATTATGTTTCCAAGTGGATAGAAGCTATCGCTACCCCCACAAATGATACTAGGGTAGTTGTTCCATTTTTACAAAAGCATATCGTCACTCGTTTTGGAACCCCTTGATGTTTGATAAGTGATGAGGGGACTCATTTTTTGAATAGAGCGGTAAAAAGTTTGTTGTCTAAATATAATATCCGTCAAAGGATAGCCGGATTTTACCTAATAATATCATTTATGAAGTGGAAACTAATAAATTAAATTAGCCGGATTTTACCTAAGTAATAACCCTAGTTGTAAAATACTAAGTGGGAGGATTAGGTGTATATATAAAATATACCAAGTATATGAGATATATGTGGTATATATATACATTTTTTCACTCATGTTCTCAGTATAAGTTCACACCGTGAGTTCCATGATCGGCCTCGTGTCGCGCTGGGCGCGGCCTCCGACTGAATGTGTTTGCATGGTTCAATACCAAGGTGAATGGAGAAAGTATTTATAGTAAGTGGGGGAAGGACGTGTGGCAACACATCCTATGGTCTCCTCTATTGGTTTGCAAACATGAGGTACCATACACGGCCTGCGTGTCATCCTAGAGCGACCACCCCTACGGAGGGTATGTTGTATGGAATCAAAATCAGGGCAAACTCCATAAATGGATAAGGTCTCTTAGGTTTTGCACCAATATTTGTCCTTCCCTACGGCATGCTTATTGGAGCGAACCTCTGGGGTCTGAAAATGACGGGTCACACTTACGAGAAGTTATTAAGTTTTTTAGTAACTCATTGACCAAACAAATAGTGACTAATTGTTATACGAATAAGAGTTATTCTAGTGTAATATTTAGATGAAAATGTCTCAATTCAGTGAAGGAGTAGCTGATTGCACCAAGATAGTTGTTGCTCTAAATCACTAGAGCATCGTTGCAAAAATAATACTGATTGATAGAGTGCATTATTTTTTTTTTACTAAAATTGATTGGGTTTTAATGGATAGTGCAAGTGTCTTAGATAGATTTGTTTATATTTCAGCATGTCTAAATCTATTGCCCTACTTGCCGCCGAAAAATTGCGGTGAAAATTACACACAATGGAAAACAAACCTTAACACGATA